ACAACTCTGCCTCAAAATTCTATGACCAAGGAATTTTGCTTGCTGGGACATGACATCTGGTCTTGTTTTCATAAATAATTTTGTCAGATATGACTTGACATATGCTGTGAAAATTAAGAAATTGACTGTAAGCTCCTTAAGGAGAGGGTTCATGGTTTGTCCCTCTCTGTGAAAACAACCAGTGGCCTAGGACTAACTGAACCCTTGTTCCCAGTTGGTGGCCTTGAGTTTCACAGGCTTGTGGGAGAGAGACTGGGGATTTAGAGATGGAAAAGCTCCACTGTAGCTCATGCCCACTTGAAGCTGATCATGCCTACAGATGCCAGGCGACTTCCTTAGGTTTTGCTGGCAGGAGACAGCTCCCTAGGCCTCCTCCACCACACGCATTGTTCCCCACCGGTAGCTGCAAGCATAGGCTTCCTTAGCAGAGGCAAGGGAGTGATTCTGCCTTCATCGTGGCCATCCTTGCAGCACAGCACTGGCGCATGCCCACTGCCTTCCAGCCCTCACTAACCCACTGGTGTTGACCATGGCCTCTTCTGCCCACAGGGAGAAAGAACTCCACTTTCTTTGCCATGATCTTTCTTTATCTTGGCTGCATTTCAAGGCCCATCCCAAATCCCTTCTCGGACTGCTACAGCCAAGCTCAGTCCATTCTCTGAAGTCACTCTTACTTAACAGTGCACAATCTTGCCATAAACAACTCTCAGATTCCGGTTTGTTCACACCAGTCCCCAAAGCCAACGTGTATGACAATCAGGGAAAGATACTAGGTTCTAAGCCTTATTGGTCCTGTACTAGCTTTGTGGTCAAGGGATGAACTTTTCTGAGCCCATTGTTCATGACCTAACAGCATCCCTGAGTCTCTCTAAAAGGTACAGTTGGAACTGTCTTCTTCATACACACTCAAAATCCTTCTTTTAGCCTCATCTTTGTTCTTATTCTTCTAGGTCACCTCTTACTTGCAGCTCAGTGTTTGGCATAGCATGGATACTCAATAAGCAATTAATTTACTTTGCCAGGACAGATGCTTTTTGACCCTCAAAGGGACAAGGTGATGTCTTATCAGCTCACTTCATATCCACAGTCTTGTGCCTGATACAAAGGGGACCCTCAGTAATACTTGAGGACCGGATGAGCTGTGTGCTTTGGGGATTCAGAGAAGAATGGGCACGTAGTGAAAGAGTTTAGGGAAGTGTCAACCCTCAAGCCAGACAAAGGAAGTTCTATACAGGATGGAGAATCGTGACGTCCTGGGGGATGGATTGTCTGAGCTTTTGTTAAGAAAGGGAACAGAGCCATTTTTATGTTCTCACTGGCGAGAGTTGGATGGAAAAATAAAGGGAGCGTTGATGGAGAGCAATGGGGTCTTTAAAGTGAGAAATTCCTCAGAGTGCTCTGTGTGCTGGGTGAGAAGAGCACCAGATCTGCCTCGGAAGGAAACACATTTTCTTCTCCAGCAGAACCGCTCTTTACCTGCAGGCAAAGAGCAACAATTCACTTACAGCGCAAGAAGAAAGCTGCTGAAAATCAAAGGGAAGCAGCAGGCACCGGCCTGTAAGAGACGCCCACTTCCCTGTCCCCTAGACAGAAAGCCTGGGACGAGAGCTTTAACATCTGCTGTTTTCTGGGAGAAGGCAATTCTGCTGTAAATTATTGAACGTTTCATTTAAGCTTCATAAATAAGAAACTGGGATGAAAACATTACAAGCTAGATCCGTTTGGCAACGTATAATTTCTGTCTTACTCCCTTGATCTGTTACCCTTTGCATACGTTGGAAAATTTCTACTTCATTATGGGCAATTGAAGGTCTCAAACAGTTGCCTGAGAAAAGCAGTCTGTGCCCCCAAAGGTAACCTGATTCCTCCAACGAGGGGTGTTCTGAGGATAGTGGACTATATTGATGACAGTGGAGGTGTTCTGAGGATAGTGGACTAATTTGATGCACTGAAGGTGTGTTTTAAACAGGTCTGTATGCATGTAAAATCACCCAATCAGTCTAGAGGCAGATACTGAGACCAGCCAGGGAGCACCCCCACTAACACCTGAGTCCATGAGCCATTTATTTATTTATTTAGCTATTTGCATCAGAGTCAGGGGCTGAGCTTCCATAAACCAACAAAAAATGTACCTAAAACCAATTTGTGCCTGCCTGCACACTTTTTGATAATGATAAGACCACCTACATGAAAAAGTTTTTTAAAAATCCTAGCATATTTCTCTGTGTTGGGTAATGATAATATTGACAACAGTCATAAACAAGAAGGACCCGTACACAGAAAATTCATTGGATCCTTACAATGGCCCACTGACAACCAAGCTTATTACCCCATTCTTCAGAAACTGAGCCTAAAGATATTAAATAGCCAAAGTAATACATGTGGAAAGTAGCAAGGCCTGAATATAAATGTCCACCAGACTCTAAAGTCTTCTAGACTTCAAACTTTACCTCTACTTAGGCTGACAGTCATGGGAGAGAACCAAGTAAGGGGTAGAGACGGGACAAGTTGGTTTGAGGTAGGAAAATGGGGCCTAATTCTAATTCTGCCCAGTAAGGACCCAACTGCATTCTTTCAAGGGAGACTTCTGGGTAAGACCCTTACCTAAGAGTCTGCTGTAATCACTAGAGTTTGAACTGAACTAAAGCCAGAAACAGGGCGGAAACTTCTGATTTCCATACAGCATTCCCTTTTGTTAAAACAAGCCATTGGTTAAGGAGAGGTTACTCAAAGAATTCTCTATAAAAACAATGTGTGTTACCTTAGGGCAGCCACAATAGCCCAGAGGATCAGACGCAATTAGGGTGGGAGAAGGCACAGAGGCCTTGTACTCGAGGCTAGAAATCTGGGAATCTTCTTGAAGCAGTCACTGATTTATTCCCATAGCCTCGATGTCTCATTTTTTTTTTTAAATAAATGTTACACCACGTTGAATGGTGTTTTCCTTAAAGTCCACATCCACCCAGAAGCTACAGAAATGTATTTGGGAAAAGGTCTGTGGTTATGTGACCAGTTTAAAATGGGTTTGTCTTAAACTCAAATCCAGTGTGACCGATGTCCTTTCAGAATGAGGAAGCACAAGACTGAAGAGGCAGAGAGGGCAGTGGTGGATTTGCAAGCCAGAGAAAGGAAGCTAAGCATTGCCGCCAGGAGCCAGGAAAAGGCAAGACAGGATCTCTTAAAGCCTTTTGAGGGAGCATAGTCCCTTTTGTCTGACATTTGGATTCCAGAATTGGGAGAGAATATGTTGTTGTTTTAAGTCGCCAGTTTGTAGATTACAGCAGCAGCTACAGGTAATTAATTAGGATGAATAGCAGACTTCCCATCCACCTTCATGGGATCATGATGAAGCTCCAAGCACATTCATGCTTGTGAAAAAAAAATAAGTGTTGCACAAATGCAAGAGGGTCTTACAGTCCACAGTGGTCAGGAAGCCAGACCTCATAATAAGCCTGCTGGAAGGACTTAGCCTGACCACTGAGACCCCAACATGTGGCAATTGGATTGCTGCATTTTCTATAATCTAAGTTTTAATAACTGAGGGTGAATTTGAAGCTAGTTATAGTATAAGAATAATGGTCCCTAAAGATATCCACATCCGAGTCTCTGGCATCTGTGACTATGTCACCTTCTGTGGTGAAAGGGACTTTGCTCACGCAATTAAAAATCTTTAGATGGGGAAATCGTCCCGCACTGTCTAGGTGGGTCCAACTTACTGATCTCAGTTGCTGTAAGTTACCTGCAGGGAGGTCAGAGCCAAAGATCTGACAATGGAATGTAAGATAAAACAGAGACAAAAGAGCTTGATAGTGTTAAGCTTCAGGCTTTGAAGGTAAATTAAGAAACAAAAGACAAGAAATGCACGTAACCCCTAGAAGCCAAAAAAGCGAAGACTTGGGTACTCCCAGAAGAAATGCAACCTTGCTGAGCCGTCTTAGATTCTAGGCCTCCCGAGTTAGAGGATCATTAATTTGTATTGTTGTGAGCCTACTAAATCGTGGTAATTTGTCACAGTAGCCATAGGAAACTATTACATCAATCAAACCAGTTGATCTGAAAATGAATGTGGAACAGTGGAGAGACTCCAGAGAATTCCAGATGCTCCAGGAACCTGTCAGCGATCCTTTGTAATGAACTCCCGAAGGATTTCCCACGAGGCTTACACCCTTTAATTTTGAATTTCTTCCAAATTCTCAGAGTCCACCTGAAGCCACTGTAAACTGTAACTGATCCATAGCTTAAATTACCTGGACTGAGTGAGAGACCTTGCTGGGGAATTCACAAGTCCTGTACTTCTGCACACATCTGTGTTAAAAGCCTGATAGTCCCTTGTTCAAAGGAAAATTCTATATGTTATGGCCTTCTATAATCCCTATATAAATCCCTATATGGTCTCAGGACCTATTTGCAAAATATGTAATATAATCTTCATACACACGTGCAAGAGACTCTTCCAAGGCTCATGTCTACACTGTCCCTATTTGATTACATTTTCTTCACACCTCATAGTTTAAGCAAGAAACCACTTCATTGTTTTATCCAACATGAGACATGTGTACACAAAAAAATAATAATAGACAAAAATAATACATGTGTACAAAAAAATAATAATTCTAGACATGACCACCTTTCCCAAGGACACTGACAGGGGCAGCCTCACTGCCTTTCTGAAACCCATAACAAGCAGTTACTTGGCACTGGCAAGTTCATCCTACTGACTTCATATGTATTTTCCAAGTAGCAAAACTGGGGTTTCTTAATGGGTAAAATTAGGAGCAATCTGAAGGTGGACTAAGCATGAACTCTAAGCAGGAATCTATGATCATTTTCTTCTCTTTGTTTAGCCTTGTTCATCACTTACACTTGTGTGTTTAGATATGTGTGCATATGCAGAGAGAGAGAGAGAGAGAGAGAGAGAGAGAGAGAGAGAGAGAGAGAGAGAGAAAGAGAGAGAGAGAGAGAGAGAGCACAGAATAACGTTTGTTTCTGCATCTACACAGATCTGGTACCAGGCACAGAATATGGAGTTGGAATATCTGCGGTCATGAACTCAAAACAAAGCATTCCCGCTACCATGAACGCCAGGACAGGTAAGTACAAGAATGAAGAAGAAGATGGTTAGCCTGCAAGCACGTAAGACTGATGGTGTACGGAGGCTAGTTCTGTCAGAATCAGACATGGGGTAGCCTTCCCAGGGAACAAGACCCTGTTGAAAACCATTGCCTAGTGTCAGCATCTACCGTGTGTCTGACCTGACAGCTGAAGTCCCACCCTGTCACCCCAGATCTGAGTTTGACCCACAGTCTGAAGGACTGTGCAGAGAAGATATGAAAACTTCCCACCAGGCTGATGCCAAAGGAGACAGCCTTTCTCTCTAACCCCCCTGACAGCAGGCAGAATGTGTGTTTTTGGTCTGCCTTCCATGAACATCAAAGAGGCCACAGCAATGAAGGCCTGGCTTCCTATACAGTTCCAGAGCAGCAGAAAAAGTCCACTTAAGATTCTAACTACTCTGGATTCAACAGTTTCCATTCCAAGTGCCTGGGAAGTTTCAAAGTCACTCCAGTAAGCTTAAATATAAGTAAGCATCTGGGGCTGGGCAAGCCTAGGGGTTTGGACCAATCCTCATCCCCAAGATTCAGCCTAGCATAAACAAACTTGCTAGAGGAGCATACTTTCAAGAGTCTCAGAAGTCTTTAGACCTGTTCACTTGGGGTTAGGAAAACCCAGAATAACCTCCGAGTCAGGGAGGAGAAGATGGGAAACTTAGTTGCTGTGAACTCTTTCTCCCACGTGATGTGGGCTCCTCTCTGCATGTTTGGCTTACCAAGGGACAGTGAATGGAAAGAAGTTAAGAATGCTGGCAGGTCAGCAACTAGATCTATCCTGGTGGTGGATGTATTCCAGTGGGTCGCTGCTACTACCCTCGTTCTGCAGACTGTCCATCTGTTTGCCCAGCTCTGGCTGTCAAAGGGGAGCTGCTTAACAAAATGTGAAGAGAGTAACAGCCATGACAGTCTAGAGCTCATGGTCAGCAGATCTAACGACAGCCTCAAAACACACAGGGTAGTCCAGTAGCCAGTGGCTGTCCAACAGAGTCAGGGTGAAATAGGCTAACTGCCAAGTGAGGTGGTATGTGCCTGAACCTCACCCTTGGGAGACAGAGACAAGAGAATCAGAAGTTGAAAATCAGCCTCTGATACATAATGAGTTCAAGACCTGTCTAGTTCTACATAAGATCTTGAATTAATGAATGAATGAATGAATTAACAAATAACTGAAGCTTATTTTAATCTACAGAGCTTGACAGTCCCCGAGACCTTATGGTAACAGCCTCATCAGAGACCTCTATCTCTCTCATCTGGACCAAGGCCAGTGGTCCCATTGATCACTACCGAATTACTTTTACCCCATCTTCTGGGATCTCCTCAGAAGTCACTGTGCCTAGGGACAGGACTTCATATACTCTGACAGATCTAGAGCCCGGAGCAGAATACATCATCTCTATCACTGCTGAGAGGGGTCGGCAGCAGAGCCTGGAGTCCACTGTGGATGCCTTCACAGGTACCAGGGAGCAGGCATCTCAGTGAGGCTCAGCAATAAACAGAGCCCCATGTGAGATGGTTATTCAGAAGCCCCAGTCTTCCAAAAGAGAAAAACTAAAGGAGATGTGTAGGGGAACCAGAGGGAAAACTAATACATGCATGGAAAGGAAATATTTGGAAGTAAAGGGAAGGGGTGAGCAAGGATGCCACACATCTGAAATCTTATGTTTGATTTTTTTGTTTACAACCTAGGCACAGTAGTTGCTTTGTCCATCTTGCCCTTCCTTCATTAAATCCACGGGAATGCTAAAGCTCTGTGATATATTTTGCTTTTCAAGTTAGAGGTTTCTAAATTTTGGATCAGTGTTACAAATATTTCACAGAAATACTTGTAGCCTTCTTAGAACTGACTGTTCCGTATATGGCTTGGGAAGAATAGACTAGGCCAGACTGGAGTGTGGGGAGGTAGGCCCTTTGGGCCAGCCAGCAGGTGAGAGTGCAGCCCTCAATGACAAAGAAGCAAGTCAAGAGTCTCTTCTGCCCAATGGCCTACGGCCACGCATGTGCTTCAGAGCAGCCAATCTTCTCTACTTCGCAGGCTTTCGCCCTATTTCCCATCTGCACTTTTCTCACGTGACCTCCTCCAGCGTCAACATCACCTGGAGTGACCCATCTCCCCCAGCAGACAGACTCATCCTCAACTACAGCCCCAGGGATGACGAGGAAGACATGATGGAAGTCCTCCTGGATTCCACCAAGAGGCACGCTGTCCTCATGGGGCTACAGCCAGCCACTGAATATATAGTGAACCTTGTAGCTGTCCATGGGACCGTAACTTCCGAGCCCATAGTGGGTTCCATCACTACAGGTGAGGCAGAAAAAGATGGTGAAGAGGGTTCTCACAGTAGCCTTTGACAAGCCAGTGCAATTTAAAAAGGGAAACATCAAGGAATAGCAAGCTGAATCTATGGCTTACAGGCCTCTGTGAGTTATTCTGAAGCAGCTATTTCTTCCAAGGCTGTGTAAGAACTTACAATGAGAAACTCTCACTTAGCAGGATAGACCCAATGCTTGGAGGGCTCAAATCGTAATTGCATTTGGTCCTAGAGTTGCCAACCTTGGAAGAAGCCCTGGGAAAAGCTAGTCTCCAAAGGAGTCCTTCTCAGTGAAGAGATGGGTTTCTGTTCTGGAGAGCCAGCTTGTGACTGCCTAACAAGTGATTCTTCCTCAGGATCAACACGGAGCTAGCAAGCAACCATGTAGTGACCTGGCACTCAGTGACTGGGATTGATTTTGCACATTGTTTGGAAAACACCACACTCTGAGATGAATTGGGTCATTTCCATTTGATCACTTGCAAAGGCAATCCCAAATACGATATGTGTGTACATAAGAACACCTGTGTTTAGATAGTTCCCTAGGTACTGACAAGAACTCACAAATTGAAAAAGTATATTAAGTCATCAACTGGTATAACCCCATAATTAAAGTATGCACCACAAATAAAATACAACTTAGGAAAGTATATTTGTTTGGGATTTGTGCTCTGAAATCCCTCTACAGTTAATAGGTAGTTTTTCCACATTGAACCATAGGTGGCTGCTAAAAAAAAAATTAAAAAACAGTAGCAGCATTGAGTCTTTCCAAGAGAAGTCTCCCTCAGAGAAGATAACTGTATAATTCACTATTTGAAATATAATGCAGGACCTTACAAGGAAGTTTCTAGTTGGTCCAGATAGGTAGTAATTGTTGCACAGAAGCACAGATCTTCCCAACTTAGCTTCCTGTTGTTAGAATGTTCTGAACTGGCTTCCGCATAGCTACAATGCTTCAGGTGTGATATCACACTGACCAGCCAATTAGGGATATACCACTAGTTATATAGGATTGTGCCTGCCTATGGGGCACTATTGGATCAATGCAAACTAGGAGTAGAAATTTCATTTCCAAACTATGCTTCTGTGTTTTCCCCACAACTCCCTGATCTTTGTAGGAATCGATCCCCCCAAAAACATCACAATTAGCAACGTGACTAAGGACTCGGTGACGGTTTCCTGGAGTTCTCCTGTCGCACCTTTTGATTACTACCGTGTATCATATCGACCCACACAAGGTAATGAAATGATTTTAATTAAACCTAAATGAGGTCTGAAGCTGGGTGGAGAGTACCATGGGAGTCCTATCACATCCATGGGACACTGGCATCTCTCTGCAGCCTACTCCCTCAAAATGAAAGGGTGTCAGTTAAGAGTGACTGGGGAGCCATGAATTCACCACCTCCTCTCAAAACAGGCTTGGTTACATGGCCATGGAAGCCAGACACTTCGCCAGTGGAAGTAACTGGACACCATTAGCTAAGCTGTGCAAATGAGAAACAATGAACCTTAAAAGACTTCGCCTAGAGCTGGGGCTACACATGCTCTCCCGAACATAAAGTCTAAGGCTAGAATTCAGGACATGGATGAAGGCCCAGCAGAGCCAGATGGAGCCCTGGAGGGGACCACAGTGATGTGATCTTAATCCTGTCGTTGTAGCCAATGTGTGAGTCAGAGAAGTTGACTGAGACCTTGCCTGCACAGTGCCAGCTCTTGCTGGGGCATGAGGCATTGTTAACAGTGAGGAAGGCATGCCCACTTCCTGCTGGGTAGACCAGTTTTCCAGGCTACCTTTCTCTAGGCTGCATAAGCACTTTTTGCAGCTCTGCCCACTACACTATCTTGATATGGTCACCTCAGAAAAGACCAGTCTGGTAGAAACCGACATAGTAAATAATTCATTTACTTTTGTTCTAAGGAGCCAATAAAATGAAAGAGTGAGGCCAGTATATAAGATTTATTTAAACTCCACCATTACCATCTTATGAATTATGGATCTGCCTTCCCTATTGCATGCTGAGTCCACATCCATCTGTGCTTCATGACCCAATGTCCCAACGTACACTGAGCCATGGCCCCATGGATGAGAGAGCTGTTGAACTTCTAATGATGGGTTCTGTTCTTCTTCAGTGGGACGGCTGGACAGCTCCGTGGTGCCCAACACTGTGACAGAGTTCACCATCACCAGGCTGTATCCAGCTACTGAATATGAAATAAGCCTCAATAGTGTGAGGGGCAGGGAGGAGAGTGAGCGCGTCTGCACCCTGGTGCACACAGGTAAACACAGCTCCCTTGTCGAGTGTCAGGTCAAGACATGAGTAGCGGGCTTGAAACAAACACAGGAAGCAGGGTGAAATTATTCCAGTTCATACAGCGGATATAGGCTCCAGGGCCTGAGGCTCCATTCCTTAGTCTCCTCTGACTCACCATGTCCTGCGGGACAAGTTGTGATTTTCTCCCCAGACTGTCTTGTCTAATTATAGGAATTCAGTGAGTCACACTCGAGGAGCCTTGCTGCTTCAGGTTAGGAATTTCCATGGAATTTCCACTGTGAAGAATGCCCTTCAAAGATGCCTGGTGGAGACGCATTTTGCAGCAGACATTTGGATAACAGGATCTCTTTAAGACTTGGCAGTGGGGGGGGCCTCAGGGAAGAGTTGTTATTTCAGATACAGGAACTCGAGGGGTGAGATTATTCATCTTATACAGTCACCCTGTATTTGCTTTGCCTTTGCTTTATGCTCCAGGGAAAAGGTTCTAGGTCCTTCGCCTGTCTGAAGGCAGTGAGGTGAGGTTGACCCCACATAGCATCCCCAGTCACCACCAGGAACACTATGCAGTCCTTGCTCTCTTATAGGCTATCCAGTCGGAACTAAGTGTCCTCTGTGTCCACAAGCCCCTTCACAGAGGGAGCTACAGAGGAAGGAAGGTGGGGGAGTAGAACATTTTGTAATATTGAAAAGTAGGAAGAGAAGCCCCCTTTCCATGCCTTCTTCAGAAAACTAACTCTTTGGACAAGCCTGGGGACAGGGCTCCCTTTCAGCAGTTCCCCTAGCCTTTCCTCTCTGGTCCTTAAGCAAGTGTTTCGGAAGAGTCAGCAAAGATTCCTAGAGAAGTCACTGGGAGCCACAACCGACAGTTTCCATCCTCAACATCGAGAACAGACTGTCTAGTTAAAGCGTAGTTTCTACATGAAGGAAAACATTCGGCCTGCCTCATTAAGAGAACACCTGGATTTCCCGACACCTCTTAATTTCCCCGGAGATGGTGTTTCCTAAGCAGGGAAATGTGCCTACGAATTTCTCACTGCTTTGTAGATCCTCTCACAATTGCCGTAACGACGTCTCTTTACACAGTGCAAACACGTCTTTCAGAAACATAAAGCAGCCTTCTCAGGACAGCGCAGGGTGTTCTGACCTCTCCTACTCTTCCTCCTTCCAGGTCTGTGGCTGTAGATGCATGAGCTACGGTTTATCATTCAGTCTGGTTCTAATCCTCTAATTATCTGTGATTATTAAAGCATCTGGTTAATAAATGTTGACCAGAAGTAATGTCGTCCACTGAGCCAAGAAAGCCCCTTTCATACCCTCATGAAAATTCTGCCATATTTTCTCATTGAGAATCATAAAATGGCTTTCTAGAACATCTTGCTCCCATGATAAGAGGGCTGTGACTGGCCCAAGGGCTAACTCCTAGCACTCTTGGCCAGCAAACATCTCAAAAACAGAAACTCCGCAGTGCACCAAGTCACATGGCCCTCCTTCAAGTTAGTAAGGACTGTGCGGGTGACTTCCCAGAACTGTGCTATACTCAAGTGTCCTGGTTTGTCGTTTTAAAGTAGTCACAATGATCTTAAATCTTTCAAAAATGAAAACCCCTTCAAAAGACCATCCATACCTCAGAAATCTTCCAACTATATTCTAGTAAGAGCAGCATTTAAAGAGGTTTTTAAAAGCACAGATTATAGATAAAATTCAAAACATTAAATTATAAGGGTTTTTGATTGCTACTTTATGATGAGAAACATAAACAAAAAGGAGAGAGAGAGGAAAAAAAAACAAATACAGCTCACTTAGGTAAAGAACAGGAGAGACCAACGGTGGAATTTGGTTCCCACACATAAATTGTATAACTCAGGTTGAATTAACACTTAAATTATTATACTAGCATCCACTTTATAAATCAATTCCAACCTTATGAAAAGGATACACATAAGTGAATCCAAGAGTTACAGCACAGGTGAGTAAAATCATAATCCATCCCCAAGCAGACTTTCTTTCCCTGATAGGCACTCTTGGCCCCCCTAAGCTTGTGTGAATCCCCTAGGTTCTCTGTGCACCAAAAAGGAAGCCCCGAACACAATCGAGAGTGAAGCTTGTCAATGGTGATGTAAGAATTCAGGAAATGGATATGACTCTGTGATCGAGCTATTGGTGTGGGCGCCCTGCACTTCCTCCACACTTCCTGGGCTTCACAGAGATCTTTCCATAAAGGTCACCCTTGCATATGTAGAACAACAAGTGGACTGGAAAGCAGAATTATCCCAGTAACTAAAGAATCATAACATTTTCAATAGGTTTTTCACACCATCTAGATTAAAATATCTAAAATACAACAGAAAGTATTTCGAATTTTCCACTTCCCTTTGAACCTGTCAAAGAATTCTGTACAAAATAAATTACCAAGTTAATTTAAAAGAAGGATTTAGGGCAATTAGGAGAGAAGTAGATATTGGAAAGGTAGAAGAAAGGGGAAGGAAGAAAGGGATGAATGGAGACAGACAGGTAGAATAAGAATCAGCCTGCACTCCAGAAGTTTTATTCAGAAGGGTGACAGATGGGCACCACATGGGAAGATTCTGATGGTTTATGGTACTTCTACCCTGTAGTTGCTCGCTCTTTAACCTGACACTCTCCTGTTCTGTTTCAGCCATGGATAGCCCTGCGGATCTGACTGCTTCCAACATCACCCCCACAGAAGCCCTGCTTCAGTGGAAAGCACCCATGGGTGAAGTGGAGAACTATGTCATTGTCCTCACACACTTTGCAAGTGAGTGTCTATGGGTGGGGGGTCGTAGGGACTGGAGCTGCAAGCCAGTATGGAAGTGAAGAAGTAATTCATTTTTCCCAGCTAAAAGTTCAACCAGAATTTACCTCAGGTTGGGAAAATGATGTAGCTCCCAAGCTCTATAAAGTCCTCAAGAAATTCCCCCCAATTGCTGTAAACAGTTGATGAGAACCACACAAGCCCATTCTGAAAGGCTCAGGAAAGGAGAGCAACCAAGAACAAACACAAAATCAGAGCTAACAGTGGGAAGACAAAACTTAGAACTGAGCTAAGATTTTCACCAAAGGGCTGCAGATAAAAAGAAGAAGTTTCTAGAACAGCAGTTCTTAACCTGTGGGTTGTGACATCATTGGAGATGGAACAACCCTTTCACAGGGGTCGCCTAAGATCATCATAATACATAGATATTTACACTACAATTCACAACAGTAGAAAATTACAGTTATGAAGTAGTAATGAAAATAATTTTATGGTTTTGGGTCACTACAACATGAGGAACTATTTTAAAGGATCACAGCCCGAGGAACTGTTTTAAAGGATCATAGCATTAGGAAGGTTGAGAACCAGAAGTTACAGGATCAAACTTGGCAAAGATAACATGCTAGCAGGTGTCTTAGTTTCTATTGCTGTGAAAAGGCACCATGATGGTGACAATTCTTAAAAAGAAAACGATTTAATTGGAGTGGCTTACATTTTCAGAGGTTTGTTTATTCCGTTAGCATCACGGCAGGAAGCAGGGCAGCATGCAGGCAGGCATGGGGCTAGAGAAAGAGCTGAGAGCTCTAACATCTTGGCTCACAGGCAACAGGAAGTGATCTGAGACCCTGTGTGGTATCTTGAGCACATATGAGACTTTGAAGCCTGCATTCACAGTAACACACTTCCTCCAACAAGGCCACACCTCCAAACAGTGCCACTCCCTTAGGGGGCCATTTTCTTTCAAAGCACTACAACAGGTGACAATTGATTTAGAACTGCTAAGCAATGTTTCTGTTGTACTGGTTGTACATCCGGCCCAAAACTTTAAATCAACACAAAAATTTGAATATCAGTGCTGTTTTCATCATACTCACTCCCCTTATGCTATTTGAAGATGACTAGAGAAACTCAAAGCAAAACAGAGGCATATTCCAAATATCTAGGCTTAGGGAAATTTTTTCTTGGCCAAAATTAAGCATATGATAACAGAATTATTTGTGAGTTATATTCAATAATCTAGGGAACAAAGATACCAGAGAACAGAAGGCAGGCAGACGACTTGATGTTCAGAGACGGAAGAGAAAGCCAGTTCTACAAGCTGCAAAGAATAATTTTTCGTCAAAGTTGGGGAAAATGAAAACTAACACACACTATCGAACAAAACAGAAACGGCATTAGTCAGTACTATGTACCAACTCAGGATCACAGAGCCTCCTCGTTGATTTCAAGTTGTTTTGGCTTTGCAACTCTATTAGCACATTTACATTTCAGCACAGCATTAGAAAGCTGAATATCATTTTGTCTTTGATTGAGATGGAAAAGCACATGATAAACCATGAGTTTGAGTTGATAGGAACTATAGCTGACTGCATAGTCCTTCTCAAAGAAAGATACCATGGATACATCCCAACCCCTCTATGCTCTTGCCAAGCCCTTCTCAGCTCTTACTGTCCCCTGGTGTGTATCATGGTCCAGCACTTCTTAAATCAGCATACCTTTCTAAGCCTTCAAGTCTCTCTGCATTTGCCCATGCGCCATTTTCTTCATCAGGAACTTCTCTCCCCAAGAGTCAACTTAGTAAGTCTTTCAGGTCTTAGCTGCAGCCCTATCTTTTCTGACAAAATATCCCCCTTCCCCTAAGGCAGTCAACACACCTGCTCACAATGACAAGGCATACAGCTCCATCCTCTCCATTCACCAAATACTTTTAATAACCTCCCATAGGCTACTCACTAAGCCTAGAAAAGCTCAGAAGCAGTGCTTGTGTTCTTATCGTTATGGAACTTACCTCTAGTGATGATGCAGGGAAGTAAATACAGCCTGGCATGAGCTGTGGCATGAACTATGCAGGACAGAGCATAGTGAGCTACATCCAATGGGCCGCCATAATTTAGAATCAAGGTATTGAGGGGAAGAAAGGAACAAGATCTCAGAGAAAGTAAAAATGATGAGGGAATTCTAAGGAAACATACAGCCTTCCTGTATTTGGAGAGAGATGAGCATGTAGGACCTGCCATTGAGTAGAGCATTGAGGGATGGCAGGATATCACAAAGAAGATAGCAAAAAGATGGTCATGATGTACATTCTTCTAAGGGGTTTTAGGTTGTTTTCAAAGGCATCTTTATATGCCTTGTTTCGTTTGTCTTTAGATCACAACAAACTTCAAGCTTCAGGTCTGACCTAGTTTGGAGCTGTACCTAATAAACTTTGCTAAATGCTGAATGATTCAGAAATATTCTAATTGTCTAACAGAGGGCTTGGCTCTGAACTAATGAACAGTTTTATTAACAGCTTGAGTGAGCCCCGAGAAGACGTGCTTACAAAACTTGTATATAAAACAAAACTGTGATTGATTGAATCCACATTAAAAATGTTTTAATAAACTGAAACTGTCATCCAAAAACTCAACCAAGGTGAAAGATGATAGAAATACAAGCAAAACTCGGCCCACAGGTCAAAATGATCAACCAAGGCCGTGGTGATAAACAAAGTCATTGATTGATAATAAATTCAGCTTGTAATGGCAATGATGTATGGCTGTCCTAAAGCCTGGAGTAATGCAAAGAGCAGGCAGAGAAGCGGGCTGACCCTGTTTACACCATTGATCAGTGGCACCGATTCTTCTTCTCAGTTCTCTCCCAAGATCTGCATTTCAGCAAAGAGCTTGATGAACTTCCTTGTCCAGAGAGAAGCAGTCAGGACTATGGGAACTTTGGAGTTGTCACATAAATGCAATGAGAGGCAGGGGCTGAATTTTCTCAGGATAAAAGAGGGAACACTTGATGGGGAAAGTGGATGGAAGGAAACAGTCAAATAAACAAGGACTCTTCTTACTCTTTGATTACAGAGACCTGAGTAGAAGGTAGAGACACAGTTTGGCCTCTGTGTACAGAATACTCTTTCTGGAAAATGAAAGATAAAAGGGGATCCTTGTACGGGGCAGTAAGCTCCATTACGTGTAGTTCTCCCAGATTCTCGGATATTGAGTCCATGTGAAATGCCTTTAGACATGGTAGGTCTTTCCTTATCTGTACGGCTCTGGTTTCAGTTGCAGGAGAGACCATCCTGGTTGATGGAGTCAGTGAAGAATTCCAGCTTGTTGGCCTGCTTCCTAGCACCCACTATACCGTCACCATGTATGCCACCAGTGGGCCTCTCGTGAGTGGCACCATTGCCACCAACTTCTCTACCCGTGAGTACAAGTTCCTGCATGGCTGGTATAAACCCTGCAGTATTATGTGGAACCAAAAAAATAAAATAAAATAAAATAAAATAAAATAAAATAAAAATGATGCTTCCTTGTAATGGAATATGTAATAAGCTATAGGTTTTGGTGATCCAAAGATGGTTCAACTGAACGTTGTACAAATACTGTATTGCTATTCAGTTAGCACCGATGTTTCTACTCCCAGGATCTAGGTGACAAGAGCAGAGCCATACAAGAAAATCTGGTACTAAGACTGTATCTAGTACAGGAAACTCTGAATATTAGAAAGCCTGATATGGTAATGTGGAGCTTCTGGGTAAAATCATGACCAGAACATTAGGACAAGAGATGATACAAGGTGGCTACAAATTCAAGTAGACTGTGGTTAATGGGTTTAGGAGCCTAAGCATAAAGAGTTGTATTGGAAGATGCCATGCCTAAGTTCATAGTCCTGCTTTGTGGGGATGGGAGTCACTTCAAAGAAGGATGCTAGCACCCTTTATGTTCCCATCCAAGCCAGAACTAGAGTCAACACAGGGGCAGCCCTGTGAGCAAGATTGCCATGCCTGAAGTCAAACAAGGAAGAGCTGGAGAGATAGGGACATCCTGGCATTTTCTCTTCCTTGCAGTCCTGGACCCTCCTGCCAACCTGACAGCCAGCGAAGTCACCAGGCAAAGTGCACTGATCTCCTGGCAGCCCCCCAGAGCAGAGATCGAAAACTATGTCTTGACATACAAGTCCTCTGATGGTAGCCGCAAAGTAAGTACTAGCCAGAAAGGGAAAAAGCTGTTACTCCCACATGAGGTCATGTGGAAACTGGTCAGTGGAATGACCCATGGAAACTGCAGGAATGGAGAAGGAACAGGCAACCAATGGGGTTCCAGATCCTGGATACACAGCCTGCGATTGAGAGAGCCCAGGTTTACAAACCAGGAAATGTCAAGTTGTAGCTTTGCTATTGCTCACTACCCACACTGCGGTAAAGCACTAACCCTCTCTCAGTGCCAGTGACCTCTCTGGATCATTAATAGGTGTGGTGGTGTTCTGGGCATCATAGTGGCAACACATGACAAGCTCCTAATCCTGTGTTATCAGAAGCAAACATGAGGCAGATAATAAACCCAAGAGGCCTGTATGCCTTGATAAACCATCTATGGAGCCTTCAATAATGAGATGATGCATTCTGGTTTTGCGTCATCGGGCTAAACAATCCACCAGAGCACTAGCTGGCAAACCTTCTCTTGTGGTGTATCCTTTAAAAAGTGAAAGTCATATATAGAAGTCAAATCTAGAGACCAAGCGAAATAAAGCAAGTCTGCTGATGGTGGTAGACAGGCCTAGGGTTCTGTTTTCTCAGTTGCTTCTCTTCCACAGTAAGCCCAATGCAGCCTGAAGCCACTGACTCAGTAACTCAGGCACCTAAATTTATCCCATGTGCATTTGTGAGATAGGAGCCCTAAACCTCACGTGGGAGCTGCCCCCACTCATTGGCAGTTTTCTCCTTACTGTGGGATAGAGAAGGCAGCATTGCTGACCCAGCTTCCCTACTGTCCCATAATGCAAGTTGACTGTCCCCCCCACCCCCGGCTTTCTTTATTCTTGCCCTCTGCAGGAGCTGATTGTGGATGCTGAGGACACGTGGATCCGACTGGAGGGCCTGTCAGAGAACACAGACTACACAGTGCTCCTGCAGGCAGCTCAGGATGCCACAAGGAGCAGCCTTACCTCTACTGTCTTCACCACAGGTGAGGGACTTGGAGTCACCTTGATGCCTTCTTCTCTCTACATGGTGCCTGCCTCCTCAGCACCTCTGCTGAGCCCTGGCCTGGAAGGAGCCTATTAAAAACACTCAGCTTCCTCTTCCTTCCTTCCCCTCTCCCAAGGCCCTGCCAGAAAATCCCCACCACTGAGGTGATCATGGAAACATCAGCCCAAATCGGTGGTCCATGTGGACCAACTAAGGGCACCAAGTAGAGATGTCAGTTTGCTTCTCATTCCAATTTCCTGGCTGTTTCTCTACAAAAAGTCTTCTTTCTTTTTCTCTCCTTCTATTGATGCATGTCCTCAGTAGCACTTCTAGTAAGCGTAACAGCAGAAACCTTCAGTGCTGAACTTCACAAGCTCTCACACTTTTGCAAGCACAAAGTTCCTTTATGCATTCAGTGTCTTACTCAATCTTTAAAACCACTGATAATACCATTTTAAAGGGCAGGAATATGAGTTAGCACGTAACTCAGAGGCAGAGCATTTGCTTAGCCTGCATGAGGTCCCAGATTCAACTCCAACTCCACAAAATAAAAATAGATAGATGGATTGATGGATGAATGGATAGATGGATGGATGGATAAAAATTAAAAGCCCATGAATAGGAGTGTGACTTAATACAATATTTTTACCTAATATGTTCAAGGTCCTAGGTTTGATTCCTGGCTCTACAGAATGAAGAAAAAGAGAAGGGTTTCAGAAATCAAAACCTTACATGGTTTTCTGGCAAGCACTGTCCTAAACACATTATACACATTATTTAACAGTATTTAATTTCATCTTCACAATAGCCTCTGTCCTATAGACTATTACCTCTATTTTGTTTGTTTGTTTTACAGGCAAGGAAAGTAGGGTACAACAGAAATGAGAGCACTCATTTAAGATTCTATGGCTTTTAAGTCAGACAGCTGAGATTTGACTCCAAACAGTCCAGCTCTGGATCTGAACTGTTAATACTGCTCTCTGCCACCTCCATGGCATCCCTTTATAGTTTGTGATGTAGAACTCCCCACCCAGCCCAGACTTTTGACTTTCACATTTTAGGGATGAGGGTATATCAGTGGGACCACTATGAGCATATCTTTCACCCCTGAACCCTGGTTTTCTGAATTTCAGAGTACCAGGATGACTGGGTCCTCCTCCATGTCCCAGAGCCTGCCCTTCATCCCTCCATCTCAAAAGAAGCAACAGAAATCAGTCCCCACTTCCTTCTCTAAATAGTCATTCTAGATAGCAAAGAGTTGGACAGTGAAATAATGAATGAGTCCCTTTCCGTTGTTTGTAATACTTTTCAATACTTTAAAGAGTGTCTCCAATGAGTTCATTAGGCAGAAGCAAATATTTTAATGGGAAAATAAAAATAAACTGATCACAGAACCAAGACGTGAATCCATGACATATTCTTACCAAGTGGAACTTAGAGAATGCTTGATATCTCTTCTGAGGCTGAAGTTTATTTTGCCATCTCAAAGATACCTTATTAAGAAGTGGGGTGTTACCTCTTGTTCAAACTCAGCCCTGCACATTCATAGGCTAATTAAGGGGTCCTTTATGAAGCCACCACTTAAAGACCTGTTGGGAGGAGTTTTCTGCTGAATTAAGAATTTTTCACCATAAAAAAGAACATAGCTAATAGATGCACAGAGCCCCCGGTTTGCACGTTTATTGGGTTAAAGGAATCGTTTTGTCAACCAAATGCTCAGTGTTAGGGAGCTTTTCATTCTCAACCTGCTAATGTCACAGTTGTCAGTAGTGAGCAGTGTATCAAATGTCTGAAGTTTCTGTGGTATCTACAGCTACAGCCCCTTCCAGATCCCTCTGGACTGAGAAGTACAGCAGTTTCTGTGACCATCACTACCTTGTCTTAGATGCAGTAGTTTGGATGTGGGACTCCAGATCTAGCCAGGGTCTTGGGAGGATTAAATCAGGTAATTGACAGCCTGGCAATCTGGAGAGGAAGCTGGCTAATGACTTGGTTTGATGGGCAGTTCAGGTGACTGTTGGTGTCTATTTAGGTTGGTCTGTTGTTCTTACAGTACTCAAGTTGACAATGGGCTCCTTAAACTTATTCAATGTCAAGTCAGAAAAAAAAAAGAAAGAAAAGGGGAAAAAAACTGAAGCCCAACTTCTATTCGGTGAATATAGCTACCAACCAAGCTACTCATTTCATAGAGTTTAGGGTGCCAGCAATGAACTCACCACTATCCCTTAATATGTAGCAAAAGAGTGTCCAGGTTTGGGAGTTGTGGTTTTAAAGTTGAAATTTATGTCACAGACGCATCCCAAAACCTGCTGGCTTTGTTTTGGAGATTCATCAGAACCCACTGAGACACTTAGATGCTGAGTGAAAATTTCTTGGGCAAGAAATAATGTATGACCAAGTCCCATGGACAAAGCCTGGTATATTCAGACATGATAGATGAAGAGTTAAATTTCAGCTTCAAAGTGCAGAAGTGGAGGTCTTGTGATAAAACAAAACTGAAGAGAAAAGAACTAAGATTCTTAATACCCTATGCAAGGATGCTACAAAGGTGTGCAGCTTGCAGAGTATGAAGGCCGAAGTCCCCCTCTAATGTCAGGTTCTGCCCACAGTACAAATCTTTCAGGGTACATTACACCAGGCTGCATTGTCAATGACCAGTTAATATAAATAATTACTTACTTCCCGCCACAGTCCCTGCCCCCTGCCAAGAGGAAATTTTATCAAAGAAGAGACTACAAGTGCATTTGCTTCCTAAAGGTGGGGGTGGGGGAAGTGCCAAAAAGGGAAAGTAGCCAAAGTGGAAAACAGAATATCTTTACCCATTCCAAGATTGAAAAGGTTGTTTGTCTAGACCCCATGGGCATGAATTAATCCTGCTGAGCTCATCTGGGGAACACTGAAAGTCTGCATGACAGTACACCAGGACTGAAAGAGTTAGAGGCTAATTTCCTTTATGCCGAGAGCACCCTTTCAGCTTAATTGACAGCATCTGCATTTTCCACTTAGCATCGTCCTATTCTGAGGATGCACTGATTGTGTGAGAGTTTTCTGTGCCTTCTCTGATGGACAACAGAGTTTAAAGTTTAGCTTCAAAGTAGCCTCCATCACTGACAAACATTCATCTCGCCCTGGGGTGACCAAGATAAAGGAGTCACTCAAGCGGGTGTTTATCTAATGGTCTGGGAAATAGTTGAGATGCTAATAATAATAATAATAATAATAATAATAATAATAATAATAATAATAATTTTTTCTTTTACTGAAAATAGTTTTTTCTCACATAATATATCCTGTTTATAGTTTTCTCTTCCTTTACTCCTCTCAGTTCCTCCCCGTCATTATTATTATAGAACAGATCTGGCCTTAAAACCTCCTTTGATCAAGATGCCTTTTCTTAGGTTCATACCACACAACATGAGCCCATTCCAATCTTTCCATCATGTTAATAGCTTCCTGTCCTCTTGTCTCTGGTGTTTGCACAAGGCTCCAGGGGGAATTATATACAAGTCGTATGGGAGAGAAAAAATATGGATACATTATTTATAATTTGCTGTCTCCTGAAATTTCATCCAAGGTCTACTTGTCTTTTAGAGACATGAATTTAAATGAGGAAACAAATCTATTCCCCGCAGAGCCACAGGGACTTGGTGAAATGATCTTCTGAGAGGCAGATTTCATTGTCTCTTTTAATACTATAAAAGGCAAACAAGACTCACAGTAAAGCTCATCCTCAGAGACAGTGAACACTATAAAAGGGTTGTCTTGACCTTGAGGTTAAGCGAAGAGGTAGCTAGAGATGAGTAATGAAGAGGTTGATGTTTTGTTTATTTTGCTTTTGTATTTTTATTCTTTTTTTATTGCCTTTGCCCCCTGCTATCTCCCTTCCAGGTCAGGCTGCTCTGTGACTCTCTCCAGGAAAACTCTGGGGTCTCCTTTGACATAAAACTCAGTATTTTCGGTTGTAAACATAAGTGAAAAATTGGCAAATTCTAAACTCCAACACAGTGAGTAGTGGATTCTAGAAAAGCACGTGGTTATCAGGATTTCTATTAGAAAGGGAAGCCTGTGTTATCTGCACACCAGGGCATCATGTGCCCCTACTTCCACACAGGAGCTGGGGGATTTCCCACTGCTCTACCACTTAAAAAGGGGCAGGGAGACAGGGCAGACAGACAGACAGACAGAGATACACACAGAGGGAGGTCTGCCTTTGTGCTCCTCTGAGATCTGGCTGTGGAGAAGGAACTGGCACCCTAATCATACCATAAGAATATACCTTCCCAAGCATGTCTAAATGAATAGCTAAATGTCAGATCAAAGGCTAGTATTAGTCAAACTGTCCACTTTATTGTGTGTTATCAATATCAGCCTCCAATGAGGTCCCTGTTTGTATTGACTCATTTATTTTCTTTGGCCCCAGCTCTTTTTCTGTCTTCCATATACAGCCATCCCAACATATCGAATGGGTAACCTTTGAAAAACATATTCTTACAGAATTGTTTTGATTATGAATGATTTAAATGTGTGTAAAGTGTTTGTATTATACAACTCATTACAGATGTTTGCACTTGGGCACTTTTAGATTCATCAGTCTTTTACTTCTAATTATTGTAAAATACTACTTGATGTGTGCCCATCACATTTGCCTTTCCACTCTCTCAAAGACAGGCATCAAATTGTCTCCAGCCCTTCACAATCCCAAATGGTGCTGTAGTATATATCCTCAGTGTATCCACCTATGGACCAGCGAAGCGTGCAGAAAATGAATGGCTAGGCACAGGGTATGTGCTTATATAGTTTAAGTACTTACAGATTGGGTACACAGGAATGCCCTTGTTCCCTGGGAGCATACATCATTCCTGATGACTTGACACAGTCCAGCCTAGTCCAGCCTTGGAATCTTTGACAATCAAACAAGATTGATTCATTGTTCTTGGTAACAGTAAGTTTGAATTTAAATATCTCCCTGTTTGTTAGACTTTTTATGTTTAACTTACC